ATTTTTCCTCCTTTATCTCCTGATTTCCTTCTCAAATTCGTGTACCACAAACATAATAACACTCAAACATCTCGTTAGTAGCAAAAATTACTCCACAAATAATTAATCACACATACCAATTATATTAAAACATCCACACGGCAATTTCAATTAAAACACACAAATTTTGGAAATTAAAAAAATTAACACATATATTCCAAATTAATAATTAGAAACATCTTTATATAATTTGCACACAAATCAGATTCCAAAATATCTTAGAAACTAACAAAAATATTAACTTCTAGATTTCTAAAACAGTTTATTGCAAATTAGATCACATATACTGCATATACACGAAACACATATATAATACAATTAACACTTTAAATCACATTTTGCACATATATTTGAATTAACATGATAAATCACTTTTTAGAGCAAATTGTATGGGAGATGAAGAACGGAGGTTCTCCGGCTTCTTTGTTAATAGAGGATTTCCGGGCGGCCTAGAAGAGTAAAATGGAAGAGAAGAACACAGTAGAAGTAAAAAACCAAAATGTCCTCATTATTTTACCATTAAAATTTTCCGGTCACTTTTCGCCGATAATTTGATCGGATGAACCAGAATTGATAGAAATTGAATAGTTATGGTACTAAATTGTTAGTTTTTAAAGTTGTGGATTGAAATTAACAACACCCCTATAGTCATAGGACCAAAACTGTAATTTTCTCTTAACGGGCTCAAACCATGAAGATCAATAAACAACTTTCTCACATAAAGCTAAACTTGAAACTTTGTAGTTACCATGCCAATTCTCTAACTAACTTGCTTAGGATTGCCTCTAATACTATTTAATAATGCTAAAGGTGGAGAAAGTTTGTTTCTTTTATTTATTCGTCGTCCCTATATATATATATATATATATATATATATATATATATATATATATATATATATATATATATATTTATTTATTTATTTATTTATTTTGGTTCTTGTGGGAACATGTCTTTTCGTGTGGTCAGTGCGGTATACGCCATTAGGTATGTATAAATGCCAAAAAATGCACCACACACAAAAAAAATACACCACATAGAATGGTGTATTTTCGAACATTGTGGGGTATATATATATATATATATATATATATATATATATATATATATTCTCTGGAGCAACAATCAATGAACTCTCGTTACAGCATCATATCAGTGGTGCGAATTGAAGACGGAGATCTGACCTCATCAATGGACGCGTCACGTCGGCGACGAATTGAAGCTGGAGTGTACATCACCATCAGAGCTTTGCCCGATGAAAACGAGAACTTAGACGTGTTAGATTCTGGCTAGGTTTAATTTAATTTGCTCACTTTGCTGCGCTGCTTCATATATTATCCTCTTTCTCCATCTGCTACTTCATCAATTCCAGACCTTACTCGATATATATAACTTTTTTTTTTTTTTTAATTCTGATCTCTAATGCAGCCGGGGAAAATCTGGAGAGATGCACGCCAGGTTATGGTGGGAAGAGATCCGAGCCAGGATACATAAACAGTATTGTATTTGTGAAACAACAATGGTGATACACATTCAATCACGCCACAAGAGGCCACTATATAAAATCCTAATTCGATTTAAACTTTATCATTCTAAAATCCTAACTCGTTTAAGATTAACATAAGATTTCCCAATCATACTAAAATCCTTAAACTGGCTCATACTATATAAACCCTAGCAGGCTGGACATAATTTTCTTCATCAATCTACTGCCTCATACTATACTATATAAACCCTTGCAGGCTGGGCATAATTTTCTTCATCAATCTACAAGCTACTACAATAATTGATCATGTTTATCAAGATTGTTTTGCTGATATGGTTTTATTGTCTTCTCCAACAAGCAATAATTTTATATCGTTCCAGAAATGTCAATTATACAATTCTATTCAGGTCTACAACTCTATTCAGGTTTATGGGTACCATTATAGCTTTTCAGTTTATCCTGGTTATCCTTTTCTCCTTGTCCCACCTCTTACTTGAAGGGATTAACAATGAATCCATCGATGATTATGATGATGATGATGGTGATGATAGCGCTAATGATGATGATGAGGATCGTGGTGATTTTGATGATGATGATAGCAGTGATGATGATGATGATAGTGATGGCGGTGATGATGATGATGATGATAACAATGATGATGATGATAGTGGTGATGATGATGATGATGATGATAACAGTGATGATGATGATGATGATGATGATAACAATGATGATGATGATGATGATGATGATGATAACAATGATGATGATGATGATGATGATGATGATGATGATGATGATGATGATGATGATAGTGGTGATAATGATGATGATGATAACAGTGATGATGATGATAACAATGATGATGATGATGATATTGGTGATGATGATGATAGCGGTGATGATTATGATGATGACAGTGGTGATGATGATGATGATGATGATGATGATAATGATAATGATAGTGGTGATGATGATGAGGATGAGGATATCGGTGATGGGTGGGTAATATTTAGTTAGAAATTAATAGACTTGTACTGATTATATTAATAGATAGATTTTATTATTACATTTATTTCCTAATTGTAATTACTATTTTTTAATAATTCTATTCTTATAGAAGTAATATAATTCATTAGTTATTCCAGATTTGTTTTATAAATGTTTATTGTAGTTGAGTTTGAATAATTTGATTGCAAAATACTTATTACAATATGTTTGATCAAATTTAAACTTTTAAATTTTTGGAATCTCACTATTCCACTTGATTGCAGAGATCAAAGATAAATGCAGTGATGTTCATCACTGCATCAATGCTTCAGTCTAGCATAATGTTGTTTATTTATGCTAAGATAGTTCGTAATTAGAGAAAAAAAAAAAAAAGCTTCCGTCTATTTAAAGTGTGGTGTCTGAAGAGAAGAAATTTTGCTTTCAAAAAAAGAAGAGAAGAAATTTTATTTTTTGTGGGATTTTGAAGAGAGAAGTTTATTTTTTTGAAAAAATAAAATAAAATAAAAGTACATGATAGATATACTTTTCCCTTGTATTCAACAATACTATTTAGCTATAGATTTAATGGTTTCAAATAAATTATAGATTTATAGTATCAATTTCCGTCAATTCTTACCAAAAGCAATGAGGAATTAATAATTATTAGGTTTATCAATTAATTAAATGTAATTCGTTATTAATCATCAAAGGAAAAAAATGTTAGCAAGTAGAGGCCCACATGTTGCATGAGAGTGTTAACTTTTGGTGTTGGGGTTTTTCCCTCCTATTTTTTTTTTTTTTTTTTAAAAGGAAACAAATATGTTTCATATTATATGTTACTCCATATAACATAGATAAGTATACTATTCATGAGGTGTAAACGAAATATAACCAAAGGTATTTTAACATTGCATAGAAAAGTTTTCTAATATGGACAAAATATTTAATACACTGCCGATGTATTATACATTTATACCTACACACCCGCAATTAACTACAATGTGACGCCTCATCCAAAAGAAATTATACCATTGATTAAGTCCTATTTTGTTAAAATATACTACTTTATGTAAATTGGAGTGTTTGAGCATTAAAAACGATAATATATTGGAACCTCAATTTGAAACTAAGAATCTAAGCTATCCAACCTCAATTTACTTGGAACCATGAATTCTGCCCTTTGCTAGGACAGTGTAGCGAATATTATATTCCGCAATCTGTGTCTGATGGTTTATGCATTCTGCACATTGTGTAAAGGTTTTGATTGTGTTCGTCTATCTGTGTGTATACCCTGGAAACTTAAAAGAGAATCAAATAAGATGAAATCGAGTCTACTGTGAGTTTTTTTTAAAAGGACATTATTGGTTTGTGAGGTTATTGAGATTATCTTTTTAAAAGAGAAGTGATTTTGAAATTGCACCGTGAGACTTGAAATCAAAAAGTAAAGTATTTTTACTTGTTGTTTAAGTTATGCACTAGTTATGTTCATTAATTAAACTTGATTAAACAAATATAAATAATGAAGATAGAAAGCATAAAATAAAGTAAAAACACAGAAGAATTGTTACGCAGTTCGAAGCTCCTTCTCTTACGTCTGCGGGGCACCCGACGTTTGCCCAATCCACTACAGATGTTCACCAAAAGGAGTATTACAAGAGGTAAATACAAACGGCCTCCAGCCTTTACCACTTCCACTCTTTCTAACACCTATCCAGGACTGACACACAAATGCCTGAACAATCTTCACAGGACGCTTCAGCAGTGCCACGTACATAACATGTGTAACACCCCCCAAAAACAAGGCCCAATTGAAGCCCTAACACAATCAGATTAACAACAAAACTAGCACAGCGGAAGATAAACGGAAACTGGATAAAAGAAATCCAAAAAGGGGTGTTATGCCACGTATACCACACTAGGTAACGCTAAGGCAACAATCTGCAAGTGTATAATACTATCCCAATACATCAATCTAAAACAGTCTAAAAACATTGGCGCACAGGCCACAAAAACACAAAGGTGCTAAGCTACCAGGCTCTAGACATCGCTCTCGTCTAAACACCACCTGAAACAACACAAAGATAAACATTGGGACGACGGCCGGTCAGCGAATAACGCTGCTAACCCACCAATACCGTTAAATATCATTAATAGATAGATATAAGATATAAAAACCATTTTCGAAACGGAATACATATATATAAGTAAAAAACCAAGATCACCAGTCAACACAAGACTCATCACTCTCAAGACCACACGGGAACACTGTTAGACTATAGTTTATTATTATTATTAATAATGTTACTAGTCAATGTATTCTAGTTTAGTCCTAGTCAATTGGCTATTAGGTAGTTCTCTCTCCTGAGAGTATTAATTGTAATCTGATTTAGTTATTCTAATGATTATCAGTTTCCTTGTTCATCTGGTATCAGTTTGCCAGGCAAAAATCTCTCCAATTTTTTTTCCCCTCCTTCTGTCGACCACCATGTCTAGTAGTTCCGAACGCACCGTAACAACCATCTCCTCCCCGAACAATTCCACCTCCCTAACGAGCACGCACCATTTTGTGTCGCTCAAACTCACACACAGGAACTACTTATATTGGCGTACGCAGGTGATCCCGTTTCTTCGGGGTCAAGGATTATTGGGATTCATTGATGGCACGCGGTCACAGCCTTCGCCGTTTTTGGAGATCCCCGCCGGCGACACGCCAAGTGGTGGTGTCTCAACCACGGAGAATCCGGCCTACGCTACATGGGTGCAACAGGATGCGTCCATTCTTTCCCTGCTGATCTCCTCCCTGTCTAAGGAGGTGATGTACCTCGCGCTCGGGCAAACCACCGCACGTGGTGTATGGACAGCCGCAGAGACAGCATTAGGGTCTTCCACGCAGGTCCGCTACCTGAATCTGCTCGGGCAGATCCAGTCTCTCCGTCAAAGCGATAGCTCCACCTCCGAATACTTAGGGAGGGCGCAGCACCTTGTTCAGGACCTTGCACTGGCCGGGAGATTGCTCACGCCATCGGAGCAGAACCTTTATGTGTTTCGGGGGCTGCGGCCTGAGTTCCGCGCTATGGCCTCCGCATTAGCGATCAACGGCACGCCGGTGTCGATTCCACAGCTGGCGGATTATCTTCAAGCACAGCAGTTCATCCACGAGGATGACTTCCCGACGTATTCCCCAGCAGCATCGGCCGGGAATCCCTCCGCAATGTACGCGGGACGCGGCCGTCGTCAACAAGGAGAGGGCGGCCGGCAGTCGCGTGGTGGCGGTGGGCGCAGCAACCAGCGCGGCGGCAGAAGCGGCCGCGGCCGGAATGGTGGCGGGTTGCGCTGCCAAATATGCAGTAAGCAGGGGCACTCCGCTGCTTTTTGTTACCGGAGATACTCCGAACCGCCGCCCACGGCGCACATGGCCGTAGCAAGAGGCGGATCGCCGTCAACAGCCTCTTCCGCGGTGACGACCTGGCTGCCGGACACAGGAGCATCAATGCATGCCACGCCGGACTCCAGTGTCCTCACGCAATCCGAGGAGTACCATGGTGACGATGTTTTGCGAGTGGGCGATGGCACAGGTTTGGCCATCTCGCGTGTGGGCCATGCAGCAATTCCATCTCTAAATAAATCCTTACAATTATCTAAAATTTTGCATGTCCCTGAACTATTCGCGTCGTTATTATCTGTTAATCTATTTACTAGAGATAATAACTGCTATTTTGAGTTTCACCCTAATTTTTTTGTTGTGAAGGACTGCATCACTAAGGCGGTTTTGCTTAAAGGGCCAAGCTCTGGGGGCTTGTACTCGTTGTCTATTCCCAGTGCTCATTATGCGTTCGTGTCGGCTCGTGCCACGTCCCTGGTTTGGCACCAGCGTCTCGGTCACCCACACAGTCAAACACTACAGCGTGTTCTACAAGAATGTCCCGTTGAGTCAAATAATGTTGCAGTTCCCAAATTATGTTCCCCGTGTCAACTTGGCAAGTCTGCCCGATTTCCTTTAGATAGGGTAGACAAGTCCAGTAATAATGTACTCGATTTAATTTTCACAGATATATGGGGTCCCGCACCAATTATTTCCGCGGATGGCTCCCGCTATTTTGTATTATTCGTAGATGATAACACCCGCTATTGTTGGTATTATCCTCTACGTCTTAAAACCGATATATATAAGATTTTTCGATGTTTTTCGGGTGACGGTAGAACGCACATTTTCGTGTTCTATCAAGTCCATTCAGTCCGATTTTGGGGGGGGGGGGGGGGGGGATACCAAAAGTTACACAAGCTATTTGATAAATTAGGGATTGTGCACAGACAATCCTGCGCCTATACACACGAGCAAAATGGCCGTGTTGAGAGCCGGAATCGGCATATTGTCGAAACCGGCTTGGCGTTAATGGCTCAAGCCTCGGTCCCGCAACGTTATTGGGATCATGCGTTTGAAACAACCACCTTCCTGATTAACCGTCTTCCGTCTGCCTCACTTCAGTTTGATACACCATATTACCGCCTGCACAAAGTCCCTCCCACGTATACATATCTACGTGTGTTTGGGTGCCTTTGTTTTCCCTATCTACGCCCATATAACCGACATAAAATCGAGTACCGGTCAAGTCCTTGTGTATTCTTAGGTTATCCTCCGTCTTTTAGGGGTTACCGCTGCATGGACCTTAACACCGGGAAAACCTATACTTGTCGTCATGTTCGCTTTGACGAAACCATTTTCCCTTTTGCAGGAAATATACACAGAATTCAGGAGGTGCCACCGGACATCTCAAATGCACCATGGGGCTCCAATCCCATCCTCCAATGTGGGGGTACTAACGTTACACCATCACCACCACCGAGTGCACCGCCAGCTTTGGTTCCCCGGGCACCGACTCGTGCCCCGAGGAAAAGGGCTATACGGGCCCAGACCCTGGAGAGGGCCCATGTCATGCGGTTAAGGCGTATGACTAAGGGGACTGGAGAACAACTGCATGCTCTCACAGCTTCGACTATGGACCCCACTTGCTACTCCCAAGCAGTTGGGCATCCACAATGGCGAGACGTTATGGACCAAGAGTTGAACGCGTTGCTACATAATAACACATGGCAGCTGGTTCCTGCTACACCGAACATGAACATTGTAGGATGCAAATGGGTGTTTCGCACCAAGCGCAAAGCCGCTGGTTCGGTTGAGCGCTACAATGCGAGACTGGTGGCCAAGGGCTTTAACCAGGTTGCAGGCGAAGATTTTTTTGAGACGTTTAGCTCTGTGGTTAAACCGACCACAGTCCGGATATTATTGTCATTTGCAATATCCCGCGGGTGGACTCTACGCCAGCTAGATGTCCACAACGCCTTTTTGAATGGCCGCTTATCTGAGACTGTCTACATGCGACAGCCGCCAGGATATGAGGACCCTGATCACCCCGATCATGTTTGTCACTTACAACGGTCCTTATATGGGCTCAAGCAGGCTCCGCGGGCCTAGTTTCATCGTCTACATGATTTCTTGTTAGAAACAGGGTTTATTGCCTCCAAAACAGATGTATCTCTGTTTCATTACTCAGGTGCAGGTTCCCGAGTATTTCTGCTTGTGTATGTCGACGACATCATCATGCTTGGAAACAGTGCTGTCTTAGTTGAGTCTCTTTTGCAGCAGTTGGCAACAGCATTTAAAATCCGGGATCTCGGGACACCCATGTTCTTTCTCAGTATAGAAACTATCACAGTTCCAGATGGTATGCTTCTCACACAGCGGCGGTACATACGTGACATTTTGCAACAAGCTGGTATGACTGATTGCAAGCCATTAGCCACACCAGCGTCCGTCACTCAGCCAGTTAGCCAGTCCATCGAGCCGTTCGACAATCCCACGCAGTACAGGAGGCTGGCAGGAGCGCTACAGTATCTTTCCATCACTCGGCCGGATATATCCTATTCGGTCAATCGTCTATGTCAGTTCATGCACAGTCCCACATAGGAGCATTGGAGTTTACTTAAACGAGTCCTTCACTATATAAAAGGAACTCTTGACTACGGACTCCGCATCTCACCGTCCAGGACCTCGGAAATCCATGCCTACTCGGATTCAGACTGGGCTGGGTGTCCAGTAGATCGCAAGTCCACCAGTGGTTATGCTGTCTTCATCGGTACCAACCTCATCTCATGGGTCTCGAGGAAGCAGCGCACAGTAGCTCGTTCATCCACTGAGGCCGAGTATAAAGGCCTAGCCGACGTCTGTGCAGAGGTGACTTGGGTTTTATCCTTACTTCGTGAGTTAGGTCTCGACTCGGCTACCCCTCCGACTCTATGCTGTGATAATCTTGGTGCAACATACTTATGCGCCAATCCCGTTTTTCACGCGCGCACCAAGCATGTTGAAGTGGACTACCACTTCGTCCGAGACAAAGTATCATCTGGCGAGTTTCGGGTTCACTTCGTCTCCACTAAAGACCAACTTGCTGACATTTTTACGAAGCCACTTCCTTCATCACGCTTTGCTGTTCTTCGTACCAAACTCAATGTGGTGAGTCACCCACCTTGAGCTTGAGGGGGAGTGTTAGACTATAGTTTATTATTATTATTAATAATGTTACTAGTCAATGTATTCTAGTTTAGTCCTAGTCAATTGGCTATTAGGTAGTTCTCTCTCCTAAGAGTATTAATTGTAATCTGATTCAGTTATTCTAATGATTATCAGTTTCCTTCTTCATCAACACATCCAAACCACAAAGGTTAACCACACACAAGGATAGAGACTCACCCAACGACAACATATGCCAAAACAACACAAGCCTCCGTGATTACACACGTCACGAGAGAAGATCACACAACGCCGGCTTTACAAGCCCTCGCAACATCACCCATCACGAGTTGGTATGCCTTCCTTATGCCCTGTTCCAACCTTATGGCTACCCCCAACCTTGTACCTTCTTTCCAACCATTACCTCCAGGACCCCTGTACAGCCAATTCCAACCTTATTCCGCCGGGACCGTCGTCCCCCACCTATAACCACCAACGAACCACCACCAATCACGGCAACACATGCCCGGATAACACATGTTATCCCCCAATCACGTGGACCCATCACTCAGGCCACAACTCCATAATCACGTCACGGCCACCACGAGGACCGCTGCAATACCTTGGTGACTAGTGTCCCATACCACTAATCGTGCAATCCAGGTAGAGCCACACACGCACCACCACTCACACGAGAGTCAAACAACGGATTACAACGAAGATGTGAAACATACTCAATCAAGGAACGAGTCACAGCCCAACAACATAAACGATGAATAACACAAGTTATCATCAACCAAACGGAAGGTACAAACAACACACATGCTAGCATTAAGACAATAAACTAGCATGCTTAACAACGGAGAAACTCAAGATAGTTTCGAGGAACACACAAGACACCTCTTGGTTCAACGAAACACGATGTTGAACACTTAGCACGATTCAAGACACCAAAGTCCTACATGGATACCTAACATATAGTTCTAGACCTACGAAACATCAAGAAGACGCTCAAATAGTTCCACAAAAGAACAATGGGAAGTCGAAAGATCAAATACCGAGACAAACGGAACACGGGGAACAAATTCCGATCCAACTCCACTGTGATCCCCGCGGGTGAACCCACGGGTAGGCCCCTACTCGTGGTTCTGCCCGCGGGTACAGAACCCACAAGTCTACGTACCTGCGGGTGGGCGGCGGGGAGGGCTCTCCCCGCCGTTCCGCCCGCGGGTACATACTCCTGGGCAAAATAATCCCTTCGGGGATTTTCTTCTCCAAACACAATTTCAAGTCTAAAACACACCAAATCTCACCAAACACAACAAAATGACTTGAACCATGGAAAATGCCAAGCAATGGCACAAGGGAACCTAAACACAAGCTCTAGATATGCAATATCACAAGATAAATGCATAAACCCTCACATTTCATAGCAAAACACATGTAGAATCCAAGAAATCACATATAGGTAAGCAAAATAGGTTTTGTAGAGCATGGGTTACCTCTTAAAGACCAAAAGACTTCACTTTACACCACAACAAGCTCTCCACTAGGCTCACTTCTCAAACCCACTTCAAGATCAAACCAAAAGATCATAAAGATCCTACCTTTAAGAAAAAGACAACTAAGATGGAACCAAAAAGACTAAACAAGCTTAGATCTTACCCTCCCAGATGCCCAAATAGGTGAAAGGTTGAATCTTGGAAGCAAAACTTGGAATCTTGACAAGGGTCTCAACTTGGCTTGGAGAATAATCTACACTTCTATTCTAGAGAGAAGGTAGAGATATTTTCTAGGAATTGTAAGGAATGAAATGAAGAAGTCTTCTAGGTTAGGATACAATACTAACTCTTGGTGAAAAGACAAGGCTACCCTTACTAAACCTTAGAAAGTGTAAGGAACAAGGGAACTCCTCTCTAAGCACAAGGTACAACACAACTTAAAGATTGACTAGTCAAATACTAGTCCTTGAGTATTAAAAATCAGGATTTTAGGAATCAATTCCTCAAAAGAATTAGAATTAATTACTCAATTAATTCATGGATTGGAGTGTGGATTTTTGGGGTGTCACATCCTCTCCCCCTTCAAAGAAGTTTCATCCCCGAAACTTGGGTACAACGAATTAAAAGCAAATGGTAACAAGGAAACGAAATTATGACAAGAAATTTCAAGAACAACTCTTTTGGTCAAAACTCCCAAAAGTACTCACAAGGGTTCCAAAGCAAAGAAGAAGACATTACGAATTCAAGGATTGGTCAAGAGTTAAAAGAACAGATAGATTGAGCATCAAGAACTCTAACCTCAACACAACAACCAACTTCTAGCCAACAACCAAGAACTCAACAACTAACTCCAAACACCAACTAGCACACTAGCTAAACAACAAGGCAACAAGCAAAACAAGCAAGCACACAAAGCACACAACAACCTAGGAAAACGAGGAACCTTCCACAAACAACTCAGGGTAACGCTCCCGCATCAATGCCTCCAGCT